GACTGTGAACCGAATAGATGTAAAAAATAGTTGTTGTACATGTACAGACCATAAATATGGAGTCCAGCTGTGTTTGATGCTGCTGGGCAGACTGACCACTGGGAACCTCTGAGCTCTGCTGGTCCACTCTGTGGAGGAATAATAAAAAAATTAGCTCAATCACAAGGTACGTTTTCTGCTCTGTGTTAGTTCTCAGACAACATAATCATAATTAAGTTTGTAAAGCTTTAAATTGTGTCCTAGATGTATTAGGCTAGGGGTGGGGAACTCCAGGCCTCATGGGCCGGTGTCCTGCAGGTTTTAGATCTCACCCTGGTGAACAGACCTGAATCAAATGATTAGTTTATTTATAGGCCTCTGGTGAACTTCAAGACCTGTTGAGGGGTAGTGTCACCGTCCCGGGCTGCAGACAGCCCACCAGGATGCACACCCACCATTAGAAGGTATTTTAGCAATTTAAATCAGCTGTAATGGATCAAGGACACATCTAAATCCTGCAGGAGACTGGAGCTTGAGACCTGGAGTTCCCCACCCCTGTATTAGGCAATTTTATTTCTTTTTCCAGATACATTCTCTCACCTCCTCAGTCACACCAATCTCATGATAGGATTCCTAAAAAACAGCTTAAAATTGTGGGAAAAAAATGCTTATGTTGCTGCCACTTAGTTCAGCTCACAGATCTGGCTGCAGAGCTGCACTCGCTGTAGGTTCAGGCTTCAGGCTCCACTATAATAGTTGCTGAAAAGTGAACGTTCATTTCTGCTTGTGCAGCTTTCCAGTTGCTTCACTCCAGTAGAGCACCTTAATATTTATGATGTAATGTTTTTTCTTACTAAACATCCTCAGAGGCATCTCAAACATATTCTAGTCCACAATATACTGATATATACAGATAAGGGTAGTGTAAAAGGTGGAATAGTTATAAACAGTTTATGTACAGAGAGACCAAATATACAGATGAACTGCAGACAAATGTACAGATGTACTGTGTATACATATGTAGAGATATACAGATGATCTGTATAGCATACAGATGTTCTATACTGCTATACAGATGGGCAGATAAACAGATGTACTATGAACAAATATACAGATGTAGAGGTGTGAGGTAAACAGATCTACAGAGTGCTATGAATACATCTAACGCAGTGTAAGCGTAGCTCTCTGAGCAGACTATAATAGATAACTGGAGGGGAGGAGCTGGAAGGGTTTATTGGCAGAATGAGAGGAGTCTCTGAGAATTATGTGTGCTCGGCATAGACATCTCTTCTTGTGGACATCCTCAATGGCAGGAAGTGGAGTCCCTGTGACGTCTTTTCACCACCCGCTGCAGTGCCTTGTGGTCAGCAACATAGCAATTTCCATACCAAACTGCGGCAAAGTTGGTCAGGATGCTCTGTATCACACAGTGGTAGAAGTTAACCAGTATGTCAGTAGACAGGTGGTTCTTCTTCAGTGTCCTGAAGAAAAAGAAGCGCTGATGGTCAGGCTGGAGGTCTTAGTTGACCAGGTCAGATTCTCAGAGATGTGGGTCCCCAAGACCTGGAGACCCGTTCAACAGCTGTGCCATTTATGTAGATGGGGACATGGGTATTTGTTTTCTCCCTCCTGAAGTTCACAATGAGCTCTTTGGTTTGCTGGTTTGGTTTGCTGCTGCAGAAGCAGGTTACTGTCAGCACCACACAGCTAGGTGCTTTAGCTCTTCCCTGTAGCAGGCTCATCATTGTCCCTGATGAGACAGTCACCGTGGTGTCATCTGCAGACTTGATGATGGAGTTGAATCAATACCTAGGTCTGCATTCATAGAGGAACGAACTCAGCACACAGCCCTGTGGAGCGCCAGTGTGAGTGTGATGGTGGTAGAGCTGTTATGCCCTGACCTAACAAATAGGGGTCTGTTGGTCAGAAAGTCCATGATCCATTTACAGATACAGAATTCTTCCTTTGAGGGACTCAAATCACATTGTCCCTGAAACTATAGACCCCTTCCAGTTTGCATTCAGCCCCAATTGATCAGTGGATGGTGCAACAGCATTAGCCCTGCACCACACTCTGCAACACCTGGAAAGCAGCCGAACATATGTCAGGATGCTCTTCCTGGACTACAGCTCTGCTTTCAACACCATCCGCCCAGGCAAGCTGATATACCTCACCATCCCAACACCCACCCATAACTGGATTCCAGACTTTTTGACAGACAGACAACAGGTGGTGAGAATGGGAGGACACGTGTCTGCTGAGCTCACCGTCAGCACTGGATCTCCACAGGGCTGCTGCCTCAGCCCCAAACTCTTCACCCTGTACACCCATGACTGTGTCTCCACCCAGGAAAACTCCAATAAACTGAGGACACCACCATCCTGGGGCTCATCAAGGGGGGGTAGACAATGTTCTTGTCTATGGTGTGAAAAGCGACCTCATCCTCAACATGGCAAGACCAAGGAATTAATACTGGACTCTAGGAGGAACTCCCTCCCCTGCAACCTCTTATCGTGAAAGGGACAGATGTGGAGACTGCAAACAGCCACAGATTCCTGGGACTGCAGGTTTCATCAGACCTGCGCTGGACTCTCAACACCACAACAACAGTGAAAAAAGCCCAGCAAAGGCTTTATTTCATTCGGCTGCTCAGGAAAGCCAGAAACCACCGCCCTCTCACCCAGGCCTACAGAGGACTGATAGAGAGCATCCTCACCGCAGGCATCACTGTCTGGTATGGAAACACTACACAGACAGAGAGGAAGGCTCTGCAGAGAGTCATAAAGTCTGCAGAGAGGATTATGGGAACAAAACTTGCCTCCATGGACCTTCTGTGCACACAACACGGCCAAAAAAGAGCAGAGAGAATTATCAGGGACTCACACCATCCAGCTCACTCTCTGCTCAGACACAAAAACTGCACATACAATCTCAGACACAACTGTTTTCAGGTAAAAGTGTTTCAAAGTTCATATATAGGCAATCTGTACATTGTTAAGATATTTAATAGGTAACACTTCATTGTTTTGTAAGCTCTAGAAGCATTATATCACAGTCGTTTTGTGCACAGAGACAAGGTGGTTTTGAGCCTCTGTTTGGTACTGTATAATGTCCATTAAGCTAACGGCAGGAGCTAGAAACGTTTCTATTGTCAACCATTTTGTCAGGAAACATGTTCAGGTATATGTATAGTAAGCACTTTATCATTTTGGTTCATTATTTATCTTTTCCTTCCACCATGTGACATTAAGCAATACAGAATGTGAAACATTTATGTTCATTTTGATTGCAATAAAGAACTGCATGAGAGACGCAAGTCAAAATCACTCTCGTGATTCTTTCCCCGTTTTTAGGGGTGTAACATTAGCTGCCATGCGCCCATCTCAGTGTGAAGTGGATTCTGTCTGTACTGGATCTGGATTCATCATCGTCCCTCCAACAGCGATCCGGCTAACCAATTGGTGATAATGACTAACTGAGCCTGCTAGCAGGTGCAGGAGGGCCAATCTCAGCCACAGCTATGAAGCTGATAACTGCTAATAACACCCATTGATGGGCTGATAACATGAATATTAAATGTCAATTCCTTCCAAGGTAAGAGCTTTTTTAAAAACTCAGACTGAGGTCTTATTTTGAAAGCCAGTGTTTGTTGAAGCTGTTTCCTGGAGCAGGACCCTGAACAATTAGAAAAAGCAGACTTAAAAACACTTCATCTCATCAGTGCTCATTAAACTGACATCATGCAGTTCATCTTCTCACCAGCAGAGGACCACAAATCACCATCAATGAAGAGTTCAAGGAGATGTTAGTGACATCAGAGCTGTACGTATTGATCTGATCAATATGGAAGTTCATGTTTCTTTGATTGGATCGGTTTTTAAAGCAGCTGTTTTTATAGAATAACAGAAACATGAGAGATACTAAATATCTTTAATATTTGATACACTGAGTACTATTGGATGTCCACTTATTCAGCCATGATGGAAACAAGTCTGAGCTCATTAAAATGAATCCAAATGTTTGATTTCTCTTTCTTAATGGGATGAAAATGCAGAGGAGCTGGTTGAGAACTGAGCTTCAGAGAAACACAACATACTGGTATTCACTGTGAAGCGCTGAGTGGAAAAGGCTGGGAAGGCTGGGATGGTCAATTTGGTAAAGTAAATCCGTTGGGCATCTTTCTTTGCCTTTAGACAATAATTCTGATGGCAAAAGAGCCAAACGGGACAGGCAAAAAAAAAAAAAAAAAAAAAAAAGAACAGTTTAAAACATCAATTGATTGAATCCATGAATCTGAAAACGCGTTTCTGAGTGAAAGAGACAGACATGTACAGACTGAACTACCTGTTCAACAGTCAGAGTGTTTCTCTAACAGGAGACACTCTTTACACCCAACTCAACACAGTGTCACTGAGGAACCAGGATTGAACCTAAATCCAGGATAAAGAGTTTGAGTGAATGTGGTGTTGAAGGTGTGGAGGTGGATCAGAGTGTCAGAGGAGACTCTGTAGAAGGACAGAGTGCCAGCAGGACAGTCCACATACACTGCTACTCTGTTAGAGACAGAGGAGGAGGAGATGGATGTGTATCTTTTATTTTGCCAGACACAACGAGGACCATCACCAGCGCAGTGCAAACTCCAGGACTGATCATTGTGTCCAAACAAACAGTCTACACTGTTTCCTTTTCTTCCGATTTGTCTGTAACTCACTGATATATAAATGTTTCCTCTCCACTCGACTTCCCAGTAACAGCGACCAGTCAGACCATTTCTACACAGAAACTGAGGATAAACATCAAATCTGTCTGGATGATCAGGATATGACTGAATCTCCTCCACACGTGTCACCTTCCTGTTGTTGTCAGACAGTCTGAGCTTTGTGTGAACTGTGTTTGTGTCGATTGTGAGTTGACAGGAATCTGATGGAGAGAACAAACACAATCCAGCTGCAGTTATTGATCCATCATCTGTTTATTGATTGACACTTTGATGATGACTCCTGACATCAGAGATGTGAATGAATCACAATAAAAACACACTTACACTTCCTCAGACCTGGTCTCAACCATCGGACTCCAGCAGGCTCCACCCTGAAAGGAGGAGGGGGGTCAGACCAGCACAGTCTCTTTCAGCATGCACACATGGACATTACATGGCTCTCATACACATACTGTTAGACACTGATAAAGGAACAGTCCAACATTTTCACAAATACACTTCAATCCATATGTGGATCAAACTGCTGATGACTGGACTGATCCTGGATCTGTCAGTACACCCTGTATTAAATGAAATATGACTGATTCACACTGTCACCTTCACTATCTTTATATTCCTCTTCTGTTAAGCTGGAAAGGACACCTCCCTGCCTTTGCTGCCAGCTGTTTTTTTTTTTCTTTTGGTGTCATTGTTGTTACTGTGCATCTATACAGTACTGTACACACCGACAACATAAAGCAGAGCTCACGCAACCATGGTAACTGAACAGCTCGTCTGACACAACCAAAAACAGTTAAGGAGTTGAGTCATGTGAATATTATCATCTGATTAGCAGGGTTAACAGCTCTGATTAGCATTGTTAGCTTCTATTGCTAATTTGAGGTGAATTAGCATTAGTAACTAATGACAAGACAGTTTTCCTTGCTTTATATGAATGTGAGTAGCTAACGATAAGTAGTCTGTCATTAGTGGCTAAAGCTAATTTGAGGTGAATAAGCATTAGCAGCTAATGTTTATACCCCCTTTTTTCCTCTCTTTATAACAATGTGAGCAGCTAATGCTAAGTAGGCTGCCGTTAGCAGCTAATGCTAATTTAAGGTGAAAAAACAGCTAATGATAATACCTTCCCTTTCAAGCAACCTAAAGAAGTCCAGACGCTTTTCTTTCCAAACTCCTTAGACTACGATGACCTGGATGACTGAGAACCTTCAGACACCTTTTCCCCTTGCTTTCTAACAATCTTAGCAGCTAATGCTAAGTAGGCTGCTGTTAGCGGCTAATGCCAATTTGAGGTGAATTAGTATTAGTCGTCTAATACCGTTTTCCCTTGCTTATTAACAATGTCAGCAGCTAATGCTAAGTAGGCCGCCGTTAGCAGCTAATGCATATTTGAAATGAATTAACATTATCCACTGATGCTAATAGTTTTCCCTTCCTTTTTAACAATGTGAATAGCTAACGCTAATACCCTTTTCCCTTGTGTTAGAAAAGTATAACTAGCTAATGCTAAGTAAGCTGCCATTAGCAGCTAATGGTACTTTGATGTGAATTAGCATTAACCGCTAATGCTAATACTGTTGTCCCTTCAAGTTCCAGTGCCAGACAGGACAGGTAAAAACAAAAACAAAACAACCATCTCCACTGTGGAGTTTAGTTGTCTGCAACAAAAAGAAATGATAAAGGACCAAACTCAAATCAAATCAAATCAAATCAAATCACTTTTATTGTCACATCACATGTGCAGGTACATTGGTACAGCACATGTGAGTGAAATTCTTGTGTGCGAGCTTCACAAGCAACAGAGTTGTGCAAAATACAATAATGTAAACAAGCAAAATACAAGAATGGCTATATCATTTTATTTTATTTCTCATTTTATTTCTACTTTTTACTCATTACTGTATGCTCATAGTAGCTGTACAGTCGTGTTATTCAAAAATGGGAAGATCTTAATAATCAATACACAGAGGAGGATTGGAAAGAAGCCATTAATATACTTAGGTCTACTTTCACTTGCAACCCCCTGCTAGAAACCCAGAACAAAATTTTACACCGCCTATATATAGCTGCTAATGTTTTACATAAGATTATACTTTATGTTTCCACTTTATTTATCAAATGTCCAAAATGTTTACATATTAGAGCCATTTCTTATATTTTGTAAGTGTTTTGTAATAAATTCTTTTATTTAATTAGCTCAGTCTGTTACTATTGTTGTCTTGGAGCAACTGGAGCCACATAATTTCGTTAGGGATTAATAAAGTATCCTGATTCTGATCATTTTACGGTCTACCTTACAGTATATAGTACCTTGAGGTGACTGTTGTTGTGATTTAGCATTGTATAAATAAAATTGAATTGCATTAAATTTAACTTTTTATTATCAGCAGCAAGCCACAGACCGAGTCCGGCAGTAGTCGGGCACAGAAATCACATGAACTTGTGCATTAAAACATGTTAGTGGATTATCCTCCAATAAAATCAGTATATTTTGGATGTATGTACAGATTAGGCCTGGGTATGTGATACTGTTTGCAAACACAAAATATTAACCAGGAACAACTCATTCATTTTCCATCATTTAAGCTGGCTAATAAAAGCAACACCTCATCTCCTAATGCATTTACCTGTCCAAGTCTACACAGGTGTATCTGACATGTCTCCTCTAAAAAACAGACTTCTCCACTCTTAAGGTCTGTAGTCTACATCCTATATCCAAAAACTGCCCCCACTAATCCATTATTCCCCTGAGCTTTCCTTATCTCTGATTCTAAGCAGACTGCTCGGTCCATGGTGTTCCTCCCCCTCCTGAAAAGGTGAAAACACTTCTTTCAGGTGCCTTCTTTCAGTCACATACATCAGTCTGTCCACTGCCATTCTTTCCATGACTTTCCCTAGATAAGAAATTAGAGCTACAGGCCTATAACCTGTGGTCTTAGGCTACGTTCACACTGCAGGTGAAAGCGCATCAAATCCGATTTTTTTGACCCTATGCGACCCATATCCGATCATGGTATGACCGTGTGAACGATCTGGGTCACTTTCGTATGTGGTACTGAATCCGATACATATCCGATGTTTCAGAAAGCGACTGCTGTTTGAATGGTCAAGTCGCATTAAATCCGTCTTTTACGTCACTGACACAAGACGGACGCCAATTATCAGCGCCGGAGAAGCGCCCGATAAGACATCGCGAATGCTTTCTGGCCATCCGGTGAAACTGCTGGGAAGACAACGTTGGAGAAACGTGAACATTTTATTTGTACTGCATAATCTGCAGATTCTGACAGAAATCTGCAGCTATCCTTTGAAGCACCGCTCCTCTGTAAAACAGCAATAAGGATCATTATTAGGTTATCTACATTATTATGTAAATAACAAAATAACTTAAAGCAAAAATTGGGAGACGTGAAGTCCAAAGTCTTTATATTAAGGCCATCAGTCAAACAATATTGTTTGCTCTGGGTCTAAACAGAGCACGTTGTGTGACGTCTTCTTTTGCGCATGCGGCCGCTTTGAGCGTTCACACTAGAGCGCGTTTGCTGTCGCATTTTATTTGTAGTGTGAACAAGCAGACAAAAAAATCGGATTTGATCAAAAAATCGGAATTGAGCATTAAGACCTGCAGTGTGAACGTAGCCTTAGTGAGGTCTTTCCTTGGTTTCACAATTGGAATTATTAGAGCTTCTTTCCAGCTTCCTGCCATATTTTATTGTAAAAGAGCAGCAGAACATTCAATCCATCCTCTAACACACCTGATCCTTCTCAGGGGAAGTCATTTTCATGCATTTAATTTACAAACTGAAAACTGATTATTAGAACAATCCTCTTCTCCAGGATTTTCCTGGTTCAACATTTCAATCTTATTCCTTTATTTTTTTCCTCACATGTCTCTTCATCACTTCAATTACTGATAAAATTCTTTAACCAGGATTTCTGCTTTTTCCTGTAGCTGCTTACTTTCTGTAGCTCTTTGATCTACTAATACTGGATAGTGTTGTTGTTTCCCGACTCCATATATGTTCTTAACTGTACTCCATGCATTCTGAATTGGTGTAGTTCTTCCTAAAGTACTGTAGCAAGTACTTGCAAGTATGTACTTTTAGTTTTCCTAACGGTTTCCTCTCTACTACTGAGCTTTTTATATTGTGCTTCTTTTAAGCTGCCTGAAAGCTGTTTCTGTCCAGTACTGCTGTGTTACGTTCTTGATCTCACTATGGCACCATCATCCTCTGTACTCTTTAGCTACTCGGGGGCCCCACAGGGATGTGTGCTGAGCCCCCTCCTCTTCACTCTGCTGACCCATGACTGCACTCCATCATAGTTACTCTCAAACCCTAGATGAAATAGCAAATGAACATTTAAATATAAGAGAGTGATTAAAAAATGCAAATAAAATAATTAAAAAGTAAAAATTTAAATAAATAAATACAATACAAATTAACAAGAAAGCTATACAATATACAATATAATGGGTAAATGACATTGAGTGTAAACCAGGCAGAGTAGTGCAAATAGGCAAATAGTGCAAATGGAGATTTAGTAATGTACGGTAAGAGATAGTATAACAACAAAGTCTTATGAGGTAATGGCAGTCCAATGCTCCACAAAGTGACTGGTAACTGGTGCAGGCCAGTGAGTGAGTCAGAGAGTGTGTGTGTGTGTGTGTGTGTGTGTGTGTGTGTGTGTGTGTGTGTGTGTGTGTGTGACAGAGTTCAGTGAGACCATGGAGGAGAAGAGGGGAGAGGGGGCAGAATCGGGAGGGAGTTAAGCTTCCTAA